CACTCGCGGATATTATCACACGATTGTCGAGTAGATATTATTATCAATACCATTAAATATTCGAGTATTATTACTTCTTTATTCGATTATTATTTAATTTATTCGGTTATTATTTAATTATTATTATTACGCATAGGAAAGCAACTCAGGCATGCCGTTACGACAATTTCTTCAAAATTTTTCTGTTTGGAGCATCCACACTTTCGACATGTGCAAGTTGCGGAATTTTTGGATTAGGTAAATATTACGTTAACTGACAGCTTGAGATTTAAATTAAAAATTTTTTGTTCGTTTTCGTCACATATCGAGCAATGCTTCTATTAATTTTTGCACGCACTTTCATTGCATAAAAACATTTGTAATTCTGTGTAACCAATACGACGTAAACTTACCGCGTATTCCGCTCCATGGAACATAAGGAAAATAGAAAAAACATCCGAAAGAAAAGCGGAACGGCTGTGATTGGGCGTGCTAACTCCACACGTGCCGTTTCTCTGAAAATTTCGGCTCCGTGGGACGGCGCCCTAACACTTCCAGGTGCGTCCGTCTTATTAAAGGGTGCGTTCAGATTCCCTACCCGGGTGCACTCTATTACTAGAAACACTATAGTATATGTTACATATACTATAGCACTTCTAGTATTAGAGTGCACCCGGGTAGGGAATCTGAACGTACCAAAAAGTGTTAAACGTGCAAAGAGTACAAGCACTACAAACACAACTGAGATCATATAATAGCCGTATCACACTAGCGACTCGCGACTGCGGCTGCGGCTGCGATTATGTCTCTTGACCAGTCAGAAAGAAGCTGGTAGCTACTACCGCTTTTCTCATTGGTCAAGAGACATAATCGCAACCGCAGCCGCAGCGGCGAGTCGCTAGAGTGGTACGGCTATAAGACCTGTTCTTTGTAGCTGCACTGCTGAACTGGTGCAATATATTGAAATGAGACAAATATATGTGTTCTCACTCTAACTTATTGTACTAGTTCAGCAGTACAGTTACAAAGAACAAGCTTATATATATCACATTTGCAGAAGTTGTCCAATTAATGGCGGCACCAATCAAAGAAGAGAACACAATCCTCTCCACTCTGTCTAGTGATCTGTTATTTTCAGGCTGCGTTCAGATTCCTTACCCGGGTGCACTCTAATACAAGAAGTGCTATAGTATATGTGACATATACTATAGTGTTTCTAGTAACAGAGTGCACTCGGGTAGGGAATCTGAACGCACCCTCAGCTGCACTGCTGAACTGGTTCAATAAGTTAAAGTGAGACAAATATGTTTTCTCACTCTAAAGGTACCTTTACATGGGAGCATCGAGCGTTAAAGCGGTAGCCAATCAACGTACCACTTTCTGCAAGAACTACATGTATACTTCTGGCACCTGATACGTTGATTGGCTAACGCTTTAACGCTCGACGCTGGAACGCTCCCATGTATTGACACTTTAATAACTCCTGCACACAGGACACGGTAATGCTTGCCGCACGGCAAAAGTCCGCGCGACAGCCAATCAATATGTTGTTTTTCCGTAAGAGCTAGAAGGTTATTACGGAAAGCAGCATATTGATTGGCTGTCGCGCGAACTTCCGCTGCGCGGCAAGCATTACCGCGTCTTGTGTGCAGAAGCCATTAGATATACAACCAGGATAAAATGGCTGAGTTTTGCAGAGAAAGCTGCTTTGCAACTGTTGTGAAATTCGTGAATCTAATTGGTTTATGTTCTTGGATTCAACCAAAATTAAGAGCATATTCCAATCAGATTCACGGATTTTACAACAGTTGCAAACCAGCTTTCTCTGCTGAACGCAATCAATGGCTTGGTTTACATCGTGCACTTGATACGCGTACTAAATAGTAACTTTCTGTTAGATAATCTTAATATCGACAATGCATATCAACGGCGATGCATTCAATCAATATAATACGTCTTGTTGAATATTATATTACCTTAATATACCGTTATTTATATATATCGTCGATATTAAGATTATCTAACAGAAAGTTACTATTTAGTACGCGTATCAAGTGCACTATGTAAACCAAACCAATAGCGAGCTCCCCGAACGCACCTTAAGTACAGGCCTGAAACCATAGAGAGAGAAAGAGATAGCGTGTTCGACTGGCCCTGAGTTAATCGCTCCGAGAGCGATTAATGACGTCATAAGTCTCTACTAGCCAATCATAAAGCTTATAAGTACTTGTTCAACCAATAAACGTAGACTGAATAACCCAGAGTGGGTTAACCCAGAGCCAGTCGAACATGCTAAGAGAGAGAGAGAGAGACCTTAAGGGCCGTGGCACACAGAAAAACTTAAGCAGTATGACGTAGCAGTAAGCAAATTGACCAATCACAGTCATTGATTCTTGGATCGTAAGAAGAATCAATGACTGTGATTGATCAATTTGCTTACTGCTTACGTTTTACTGCTTAAGTTTTTCTATAGCCGGTATTCATAGTCAGATCTTATATTTAAGACCGTCTTAAGTTTATCTTCAGATGATGAACGGATCATTTCATTGGCTACGGAGTATCTGAAGATGAACTTAAGACAGTCTTAAAAATAAGACCCGACTATGGCTGCGTTCAGAAAACAGCTGATCAGTGAGCGGTCAGTGATTATTGGTCCTTACTGTTAGATCTCTAATTTTAGATCAATTATATTGACGAATTGCTCAACTGTTGTGAAACTGTTGAGTTCGCTGAACGCACCCATTGGCTGCGTTCCGAAATTCACTGCCAGTACTGAACATCTATAGTATACGTGACATAAACTATAGGTTTTCACTACTGGCAGTGAATTTCGGAACGCAGCCTATGAATACCGGCATATCACCAGCTTAACAGGTTAGAATATTTGTTATAGAAATTGTAATAATACACAGCCTTTGCGTATCGTAAAGAAGGTCGATTCCTATCATTAGCGATACGATAAAACTACTGCATGGTTGTTTGTTTAATCGTGTTGTACGACATAGTATGCTCGACAATGCGCGCTGTTTTATGCAATTTCATCCACAGCGTAACCACTTATGCCATTCTCAGTGCAAGAATGCTTCGAAAGCAAAGGTTAATAACGCGTTTCTTTTCTTTTAAAATGAAAGATTGATAATATGAGAAAGAAAGAACTATTATGTAAAATAAAAAATGTGTATAAATCGAAATTTTTTTTCCAGAAGATGGCCTTGTTCATCGATCAGGTGTTTTGCTTCGTCAGCGACCAGTGACACGGAGTACGATGTACCGATAGAAATGATTCGTAACTTTAGTATAATAGCGCACGTTGACCATGGTAAGAGTACACTTGCTGACAGATTGCTGGAATTAACAGGTGCTATAAAAGTGAATTCCGGCAAGCAAGTTTTAGACAATCTGCAAGTGGAGAAAGAACGTGGTATCACTGTAAAAGCTCAGACAGCGTCGTTGTCTTATTCATATAGAAATAGGAAATATCTTCTGAATCTCATAGATACACCTGGTCATGTAGACTTTACAGCAGAGGTTCGTCGATCCTTGGCTCCCTGTCAAGGTGTTGTACTGCTGGTCGATGCGAATGATGGTGTTCAAGCGCAAACTGTAGCGAATTACTACCTAGCGCGAGAGAGACAACTTGTAATTATACCGGTTATCAATAAAGTGGATCTAAAGAACGCCAATCCGGAAAAAGTACAGGATCAGTTACAAGCATTGTTTGGCATGGACGATATAGATGTTATAAAGATATCAGCCAAGTTGGGCATCGGTGTCGACAAAGTTTTGGATGCTATAATCGAAAGGATTCCACCGCCTGTAGTGTCGAGAGACAAGCCATTTCGTGCACTGGTATTTGACAGTTGGTATGAGAAGCACAAAGGTGCCATTTCCTTGATTTATGTGAAAGATGGTGCATTATCAGTCGGTGAGCATGTTAACTTTATGCTGTTGAAGAAGTCGTATGAAATTAGAAGCATCTCTTTCCTCAGGCCTCACGCGGAGAATATAAAGACAATGTGAGTCAGTCACTTGTTTTGTCATTGGAGTTATCGATTATATATTTCGTATTGTTGCGAATACATGTGAGAAAAGCTATATGAAGAGAATTAGGTAGGTATGATTGATCATTTTTTTTTAATGTCAATTTAGATATGCAGGGCAAGTTGGTGCTATTTCGTGCAATATGAAATCACAAGATTCTTGCATCGGTGACACTTTACATCTAAGACAGTGCTTCGTCGATCCTCTAGAGAGATTCAAACCGCCGAAGCCAATGGTGTTTGCTGGCATATATCCGATGGATCAGTCGCAATTCACTTCTTTACAGGCGGCCATCGACAAACTTGCTTTAAACGACAGTGCCGTGGCTGTGACGATGGAGTCGAGGTATTCGCTTTAATATCAAGTCTATTCTCAACGGTAGCAACAAAGATTGCTGTAACAAAGTCAAACGTCGCAGTGTCGCACTCGGAAGAGGATGGCGCATTGGATTTTTGGGATTACTGCACATGGAGGTATTCGTTCAGCGTCTCGAACAAGAGTACGGTACGCAGCCGATAGTTACAGCACCTGCAGTGACGTACAAAGCCAAAATATTTGGGGCGAAAAATATAACGAAATATCAAGGCGATATGGTGACTTTTAACAATCCGGAGCATTTCCCAGATCGACAAATCGTTGACGAATTTTATGAACCTACGATCGTAGCGACTATTATAACACCAGGTACACACATTTATTGTCCAGAATTGAAGCATCCGTTCTCTCCGTCTTGTTCCAAACCTTATTTGTCGGGAATTATGACGGATTGAGAAATTACAGTAGCAAATAGAGTTGCTTCACCGATTGATTTGATTGTCGACAAAAGCTGTCGCATTGCTGTACAACTCTGTGCTACCATAAAATCAACGCCCTGAATACGTCAATCGAATGACGACTGAAAAATTTTTAATTCTTATTGTTGATACTTGTAGAGTAATCAATCCTTTGTAAACTGTACAGTTGAATATATGAGTGAAATTGTGTCACTTTGCCGACATAAACGAGGCATTGAGAAATCGAGCAAACCTATTGGTAATGACAGAGTCGCCCTGCAGTATATAATGCCATTGAGCGAAATAATTGTCGACTTCCACGACTCTTTGAAGAGCATAAGTTCCGGTTATGCTAGTTTCGACTATGAAAATCACGATTATCAGTCATCTGACATAGTAAAGGTAATTATTTTATAGTAAAAGTGAGGTATCGCGCGATGGGAATTGTCCTCACAATGCGTCGGTGCATTTTACTCATCCGATCTCTCGATTATGCATTTTGATTATTTTCAGTTGGATATTCTCTTGAATGGAAAAATAGCGGACGAATTGAGTTCGATTGTACATAGAGAGAAGGCCTATCAAATGGGTAAGAAGTTGTGCGTTAAGCTTCTCGAAACCATTCCTCGTCAGCTCTTTGAAATAGCTATCCAAGCAGTGATAGGAAGTAAAGTGATAGCGAGAGAAACTTTGAAGGCTTACAAAAAAGATGTAACAGCCAAATTAGTAAGTGTATACATTCTTGTGTAGATCATTGCAAATAGATTCTTATCGATCTTTGTTTATAGTACGGAGGTGACGTTACGAGAAGAAAAAAATTACTAGCGCAACAAGCGGAAGGTAAAAAGAAAATGAGGATGATTGGTAAAATTTCGTTACCCCGAGACACTTTCATAAACGTACTAAAGAAATAAGAACGGAAATTTATCTGTCGTCACCGCGATTTATTGTTACGTATTATTTTATCGACCGACGCTGCACTATTTGCGTCGTTTGCGTAAAAAATGTGACATGAGTGTGTTGTACAAAATTGTCCAAAAATATTGAAATATATAATGTGTAAAGTGAACTATATCTGTAAAGTGAAATATATCTTGCATTATATTTGATTCTTTAACAGAACTTGTGTGATAGTAAAATTCCTCAAAAGAATCGTTTCTTTTCGCTGCAAGCGATTGGAATAAAAAGAATATCCCCGTTACCGATAGTTGAGTAGTAGTAGTAGATAATTTGAAAGTTGTACGTAGAGATGGCGCTATTTTACGTTCCAATCGCCTCTCTCTGCTGAACACAACCATTATCGGTATCGAGTTTTTCAGTTTCGATGAACACATCTTACGTCGTAGTTGAATCACCGGTATCCAGGGCTCTCTTCCGTGACATTTTGCAGTTCCTGAACATCATAAATTAAAATCTGTAAACAATCAAGATTGAATCTCTCCTTCATGGAATAATGACGCTGGAGCAAAACTCCCCTAGTGAGACCTGGAGCCATAGATTGAAGATCGAAGATTGAAGATATCCAGGGCTCCGAGACGCTTCAGTGTGACCTCTGAGAAGGAGATCGTATGGTTGTTTGACAGCTGTCAGATACGTGCCGATGAGAATGATACCGTTATCGAAATCGCGAAAATGCTTTCGCGACCGTATCTAAAACCCGAGTCGCGGATGGGCAACGAATAATTGGACGCCCTAATCGCGTTATCACGAGCATTGACAGTTGAGCACACATGAACGAGTCTAACTCGCTCACCAATCTTGCAGCAGACGTAATCTTTGCGCGTCATGGCGAGTATGGTCGAGAACATTGCTTGCGGTGGCTTTGTGTTTTTCAACAACTTCGATTCGGCTAATCTGGCCAAAGTGGAACAAGTGAAAATAGCGGATGTTTCTAATAAAGGTAACAAAGTTATTTTTTGAACGTTCAATCGATGATGCCTATGATCGTGTGTATGGTGTAGCATGTACGACTGTGCGTGCGCGCGCGTTAATATGTTTCTGTTGTCAAGCGATTAATTGAATAAAGAAAAATTCGTGTAAATATTCGTATCAAAAGCAAGTGTACAAAATGTACCTGTTACGTAAGAAATACAATATCGTTTCACTATTTCTAGATGCTTATGAAGTCGAAGGCAAATTGGATGGCTCAAACTCAAAGGATACATTGGATTATGAGTTCAACTTGTGGACTAAACACGACTGTCACGGTACGCAATATCAAAACAATAACAGAACATGGTTTTACTTTGGAGTACGATGCGGTTGTCCGAATTCCTCTGTCAGATTTAATATAGTCAATTTAAACAAGCAAGTCAAAATGTTCAGTCAAGGGATGTGTCCAGTCTTTAAGATTGTACCAGGACACTTGCATTGGGAACGGATACGTGAAAAACCTACATACACTGTAATTGCAACATTTATCATTGTATAAATATATCTGAAAGTAACACGATATTGTGACCAGCTTGGTCGATACAGTTACATGGTGTACAATCTAATGTGTTGCAGCTTGACCAGAGAGGAAGCGACTTTACTTTATCGTTCCTCTATTCTACCCCGGAAAATACAAAAGCTATTACTTACTTTGCTTTCACCTATCCATTCTCATATACCGATTTGCAAAATTACTTGAAAAGAATTGATGTGAGAATGGGTAAACGTAATGTAACGTGTGTGGACGATATCTATTATCACAGAGAATGTGCGATAAAATCTCTGGAGAGCCGTAGACTAGATGTATTAACAATAAGCTCTTATCATAACATATCAACGGAGAGAGAAGATAGACTGAACAATATGTTTCCTGAAGAAAGTGAGGAGAGGCCTTACAAATTTTGGGATAAGAAAGTATGTATAATGAAAGAAAAGTACAAAGATTCCTTTCATTCATTTCACAAAATTCCTTTCAATATATATGATTATACATTGTATGTGTCCAGATAATTTTTATTAGTGCCAGAGTCCATCCAGGCGAGACACCATCAAGTTTTGTTCTGAATGGTTTTCTCAATTTTTTACTAAATCGCGAAGACCAAATCGCAATCGTTTTACGTCGACTATATGTGTTCAAATTAGTACCAATGCTCAATCCTGATGGCGTTGCCAGAGGTCATTACCGAATGGACACTAGAGGGGTAAATCTAAACAGAGTTTATTTAAACCCTTCTGAAGTGCATCACCCCACGATATATGCTGCAAGAAACTTGATAAGGTGATAAACTTTGACAAATTTGATCATCTTAGTGTCTGGAAAAAAATTACTTGATGTATCTTTTAATAGTGTGTGAGATATATATAAACAAACTCTCTATATAACATGTGTACACATATATATATACGTTTTTTCAGATATTATCACTATTCTTATCAACTACCAAATGAATCAACTGACGAACTATCGACTATTAATTTAGAGATTGCAAAGAGCGATGTAAATGTTATAAATTCGACTACTTCAATAGCAAATGCTGTACGTGACACAACCGCAAGACTGTTGCAACAAGTACGTTATAAATTTACAGGATTTCTTTCAATTATCTTTCTTTTATATATATGTGTGTGTGTGTGTGTGTGTGTGTGTGTGTGTGTGTGTGTGTGTGTGTGTATTGCTAATATGAGATTGCGCACAAATTTTGAAAAAAATTAACGTTTATATTTAATATATCTTACATCGTAGTGATAGCATACTCTCTCTCTCTTTCTTTCTCTCTGTATGTATGTATGAGAAATGTATCATGCTTTATATTACTATTATACTTACATATTTCTTTCAAAGGTAACACTTATGTCACTGGATGAGAAGAACAGATCGAGTACTATCGAGGCTAACAAGAAACATTTACTAACTCTAAAAAAATTGGACGATGCAGTAGTCGGTACGATACTTGTTTTGTACAAGCATGATTGTGTGATCATTTCTAATTCACCCTGATTTATTCTTATTATTTACAGACATGCAGAACGAAAGATCTAAAGAACGATTATCTAAAGAAAATGAAAAAGATGCCAACATCGCGGAAGATGAAGCGAACGATAAAATGATTTATACAGCTATCGGTACGGGCGAAGTAGCAAAATCTTTGGATAATTCCGGATTATATTTATATATCGATCTTCATGGTCACGCTTCGAAGAAAGGTGTCTTTATGTACGGAAATCACTTTACCGATCCAGAAGACACTATTACGTGCATGCTACTACCGAAATTGATGTCTATCAATAACCCGCATTTTCACTTTGCGTCGTGCAATTTTGCAGAACGAAACATGTATATTATGTGAGTATCTCTCTCTCTCTCTCTCTCTCTCTCTCTCTCTCTCTCTCTCTCTCTCT